ACCTGCATCATGGGGTTGATCTGAGCTCCTGTTGTTTTGTTCATCTTCATCATAATAATGACAACATGAAAAAAGGTGCTCACATAGGTTTGTGCTGATGAACATGTCTGAGTAGCTTGACCACGTCGTTGTGTGTCGGGGAGAAAAAACAACAACGACAGCAGCCACAGAGTCATGCTGGTTTGAGCGTGTCACTGTTCGCTGGAGTTATATCAGCTCTGTCTGGAAGTAAGTTGGAAAACTTGCTCTTTCAGTCGTGAACACATTACTGAGCGGTTAAAATCTCAGTTTCTAGGCTTCAACGTCGGCAAATAGCTGAGTAAACTCAGCGCTGAGTGAGAAGAGGGTTTAGTTTGTCCGAGACAGCGGAGCTGCAGACACCGGCAGCAGACGCCGGAAAAAAACACAAAGGATGGGGCGCTTCGGCTCCGCGCTAACGCTGCAAAGCATCATGGGAGTTGTAGTCTGCTGTAAAATCGGCCAGCGGGTCAGTTTTAATACATTTTTGATATTTATCTCGCGGGCAACATCCTTGTGTCTGACACATGTGATCTAGGCAGTGATGATACCTTTTATCTTTAACCCTTAAGAACCCGTGGTGACACTGGTGGCACAACCCATCTTAAACATCTGCAAAATTGCTTGTTGAGTCAAATATTCAAGTTTGAAAACCCAAAGTGACATTCTGTCCATACATATAAAATTGTTCTTCTTTATTTTATTTAAAATTTTCTACATTTTGACATATTTATTCCAATCTGTTTTGTAATTCAAAAGGGTTTGTGTTCTAAAGGGTAATCCTCCCCTTAGACAATAATAAAACGTTCAATTGGTTTGTAAAGTTTTTTTATGGAACTTCAAACATCAGGAGATTCCTTTATTGCTGTGATTGCTGTTTAACAGCGTAGTTATTGTATTTTTTTTGGACTCCTATAAACCGTTTTCCACATTTTATTGCTTCAATTATCCAATATACTGTAACAGAACAGGGTTCATCATACGGTGTCAGTGTTTTTGTTCCTGTGCTGCTGAACTAAACGTGTCTTTTCCTCCTTACGTGTCCTCACGTATACATGAGCCATATATGCATCGTTGTGTGTGTGTGTGTTTTTGAAATCCGGTTTAGCAGCTTTTTTAATTTGGGAGGTAAAAGTGCATAAAGTTCAGATATTATTAGCATAGGGACTCAAGTTAATAGTTGACTAACCTGTTGTGGCTAGGATTTCCAGGTCAGTATAGGAAAGCACAGATCTTAACCCCCCAGGCGGTTTTTATCATCCGTTTCCTCTGTGTGACCCGTTCACCACTCACTGTAACACATCTCTATTGTCATAAACCAGACATTCATGTCTGAAACATGAGAAAAGCTGCAGAGCTCAGGTTTTATTCTTTTAGACATTTGAGAATGTTGCTTTGTGTTATTCAGCCTACGTTTAGTCCCACATTAATGCAGAAATCCAGGTTCTAGGTGGTAACTTTCTTTGCTTTTTCTAAGATGAAAACCTTTTAAATTATCAAAACATGTTAGTTGAAACCATTAAAGTAGCCAACATAGATTAATAGTAAACAAAGCAGTGATTCCTGCAGACAGGATTGTTGTGACAAACATCTTTCTTCCGGCTCTTGGAGAGTACAGACACTTTTCCTCCTCTCCTCCCTCTCTTATCCCAAGGCTCTTTGTCTGTCTTTGGGTGTACGGCGCTTCTGCATTTTTTCTGGAAACGAGGCTGAAGTGATTACTCCCTCTCGGAAGAAATGTGGAATGCTGCCGTCGCCATGGCATCTCTGTCTCCCTATCCCAGCCTGGGTGGGACTGCGACCGGTGAAGGTCGTTGAATCGTTTCCAGGAGTCACTGTGCTCTCTAACCCAACGACCTCCCTCCCCTGTCCAAACGGAGGTGACGAGCGCTGCTTATTGTGGCTGCATGCACTGATGTGAGGAGAGTCCCCAACCCTACCTCCCCACCTAGTGGACACTTATGTTGTGTAATGTCTGAAGTCTGTTGCATTTCGGTCTGAGGTGTTTTTTGCATAGCAAAGCTGCCCTCACTGTGGAGGGTAACTCTGAAGTGCCTTTTTTTCCCTCCACCTGACTCAATCCTCATATATAAACCCTCTGATCTCTATTAAGGTAGCGCGACTTGGGTTGCGAATGACCACAGTCACCAGTTCTTGTTATGTGTCTTTGTATGTCTGATCTCAGAATTGTGTGCACTGAAACTCTAATTTTCCTCTGGGATTAATAAAGTATCTTTGAATTGAATTTGAATTGGATGTCTCGGCCTTCAGATCCTGTCTCCGTTGGGTCGTATCAGCGAAGCTCTGAGTGATCTGACTAAAGCCATCCAGCTGCAGCCATCAGCCCGTCTCTACAGGCACAGAGGAACTCTTCTCTTCATCTCCGAGGTCCGACCCTCTCTCACACACCACCTCGGCAGGTTTGTGCTCTTGTTATCCTGACACCATGTTTGCCTCTATTCAGGATTATGTTGCAGCTATGGAGGACTTCCAGCGATCCCTGGAGCTGAAGAAGAATCAGCCCATTGCCATGCTTTATAAAGGCCTCACCTTCTTCCACAGAGGAATGCTGAAGGTAAGCAGCCAAATTATTTGTTTATGGTTGATTTGACTAAGAGTAGCAGATTTTCAGAGCTTGTTCAGGTGCTGGGAGTCCTTCAAAAGGTTTAAATGTTGGATAAAGTCCTTGAAACTTTATTTGTGTTGGTTTCATTATCATAAATTTGTTCTTTCGAGTAAATTAGTATTTGATTAGAAAGTAAATAAACCGTTTTTAGTTTCCTTATTGAATAAAATAAAAAAAATAAATTAAAAAAACCCAGAAAGCGTTCAAATGAACTTAGAAGTACCTTTATATTAACACTGAGCAGTTTCCTGCTCCTCTGCCCTACTGGTTGAAAGTGGAATTACAAATGTTAACCCTGCTGCAGCCTGCTGTAGCTATCGCTAACAAGCTAACACTAACTTGAGTCAGCTAATACAAAAATAAACCACAAAATAAAAAGATTCACAATGTTGTACAACAAATATTACTTAAAAGTAGAGATGACCCGATAAGGTTTGTTTTGCCCTTGTTACGAAGGTAACGTAATTTTCCTGAGCAACGCAATGCATGTAACCTTAGGTCACGTGACTTCCGGGTTCAAACAAGCACTTCCGGTAAAAAAAAAGGCGACTGTAGCTTACTTACAGTCGCCTTTGCAGGGGTGGGGAACCCTGGTCCATCGAGGGCCGCTATCCAGCATATTTTAGTTTCAACCCTGCATCCTCACACCTGATTTCAATCAGCAGGTAATTAACAAGCTTCTGCAGAGCTTGATGAGCTGTAGAACAGGTGAATCAACCACTAAATCAGAAGTGTTGGAGCTAAGACACGCAGGACACCGGTCCTCGAGGACCAGGGTTCCCCACTCCTGCTAGCGGAAACCTAACCACAAACCAACCAGATGTTCTGCATGCTTTTGTCAGTGTTTGATGAATAAAAAACAGATGTCCTCTTGGACTTTTTATCAGTACAAACACCGTGACTGAGAAGGTGTGTCTGAATATTTCTGATGACTCTTCACGAAAACATGAAACTGTCTGAGTCACTGATTTATGGAAACGGATGGGAGTCTGTAAATAATTACAATAAAAAGTTGATTATTCTTAATGACTAATATTATCTTTTTTAATTAACTTTTGCACCTGGGAAACTTTTCAGTTTAAATTTCTGCATGCAAAGTAAAATAAACCTAAATATTATCGTTTATCTGTAGCTGTTGAAGTGCTTTAACTGTTTGTCTTTGTGTTCTTTAGGAGGCCATTGAGACGTTCAAAGAGGCGTTAAAGTTAAAGTCTGATTTCATAGATGCGTATAAGAGCCTCGGACAGGCCTACAGGTACAAACACTGTTGCAGACCTGCCAGCCTGTACGCATCTAGCGTAGCCAGTACGTAATTTGGCATCTATTTACGCTGGTACGACTCACCCCTCTAAACCACACAAAAAGCTGCGGATACTTGAGTTGAGTTCTGTGGCAAATATGCACGTGTGGTACTCATGTCTGACAACACGACTCAGCTGCGTGGTGAAGAAGCTTAAGCCAATCATCGTTGAAAATCGGAGAAAAACTATCCTGCCCAATAGCGTAACACCCCCGCCCCCCTCCTCCCTGCTTCGTCCTGCCCGCTGCTCCTCTCTCCCTCCGGTTTGCCACTCGCTGCTGTTGTGTGTGTGTGTGTGTGTGTGTGTCAGAGGGCCGGACCGGCCGTCTTTTGGTGAATGTGAACGCGTAACGTTACTTTCACTGTTGAATATTCAAGCCGAAATCTGAGTGAAAAAAATAAAAAAATTCGTGACTGAAGAGAAAGAGGCTGCTGTGTGTGCGTGTGTGTGTGTGTGTGTGTGTGTGTGTGTGTGTGTGTGTGTGTGTTTGCCTTTATCCATTGCAGATAGATTTGGCCTGTATATAAGGAGGAATGTCATTATTTATACAGTTTAAACATGCAGGCAGCCATTTTTTTTTTGGCAGCTCGTTTTTAACTCATGCTACGGCAGATGAGGGAGAAGCAGACAGGGAGGGATTGGCTAGCAGACATGCCAAAAAGAACAGAGTCCATGTGTCTCAGAAGTTTTTGTCCAAATATCAAGAACAGTGGCCATGCTTACGACCCTCTAAACAACCTCACCATGCATTTTGCACAATCTGCAGTTATGATGTGGACAAAAGCCACCAGGGAGCTGCAGGTAATCAGTAAATTAGCCCTGGTGATGTGTGCATATGTGCTTTAAGCCAGTTTAATATTACATTCTTGAGAACAGAAATACCTATTGCAATTTACAAAATAAATAATTACCATTAAATACATATAAATGTTTTTTTATTAATTTGTATTGAAATAATGTTATGCAAGTAACTTGCATAAGTACAAATATTATATAAGGAAACTTTAGAGTTTTACAGTTTAATATTAAAATACATGATACTTAGGAGTCAAACTGTAAAAATGTCTATAACCTTACTAGTCAAAATAAGAACTATGAACGTGTGTGTGTGTGTAAAATTTTCCATCCAATGAATGGGGAGATTACAGCGTGAAAAGCAATGGAGTTACAAAAGTCTGCGAAAAAATGCCGCACAAGTGGTACTCAAAAACTTTTGACAAGGTTGGCAGGTCTGCTGTTGTTGTTAAATTCAGCTTTCAGTTAGAGGATGCAGAGTTTAACCCCTCGTGGCTCCCATTTTCCGTCTTTTCAGAGAGTTGGGGGATTTTGAATCTGCAATGGAGAGCTTCCTGAAGGCGTTAATGCTGAACCAGAACCACATCCAGTCTCTGCAGCTCCGAGGCATGATGCTGTACCACCACGGCTCTCTGCAGGAGGCCATCGGCAACTTTAAAGTACTGAAATCACGAAGCGGCGTGTTGTCAGCACGTCCTTCGCAGCTGAGCGTGTTATGTCTGTCGTTTGTGTCCTCCAGAGGTGCCTTCAGTTGGAGCCCTACAACGAGGTGTGTCAGTACATGAAGGGGCTGAGCCACGTGGCCATGGGACAGTTCTACGAGGGCATCAAAGCTCAGACTAAAGTCATGCTGAATGATCCGCTGCTGGGACAGAAGGCCAGCTCTGAATACCTCAAAGTTAAATACCTCAGAGGTATGTGGGCCGTGCTGACACAAACACAACAGCTGGGTCGTTTCTGTAACGGCTCCGGACTTCTGGACCTTTTTCAGCGTTTGTTGCTGATTTTAGAGGAAATCTTAAGGAAATGAGAGCAGAGAAACGGGAAACATGCTGCAGAACTCCAATAACTTCATAACTCCACTTTTATAGCATCAACTCAACACAACTTATCCCTTTATTTAGAGCAGATGTGTTTGTTGCGAATGCATCTGGAATTCCAGACGTAGAAGAAATTTTACGTCACGCAACAGAAACGACTGTCGGAGGAACAAACCAACACTTTTTCCTTTGTGTGTTAACGTTCAGTCCTGTTTTTTTTTCCCTCCAGAGTATTCCCGTTACCTGCACTCCCATCTGGATGTCCCGGTAGCGGAGTACAACGTGGACCAGGACTTACCGGGGAACTTTAAGAACCACTGGGCTAAGAACCTGCCCTTTTTATTAGAGGACTACGAGGAGCAGCCCGGCCTGCAGCCACACATCAAGTTGGTCTCCTTTACAGATTTCGAGCAAACACCAAAGTCTCCCCTGACTGGCTCCCGTTAGATCATTAAAACAGTTTTCAGCAGAAATAGACTTTTCATTTGTTTTGCAAACAGAAAGTGGAATGATTGATCCTCTCGTAGATAAATCTGTTTTAAGCAGTTGCTCAACTTATATTGGTGAAATGATTTCTGCTTCTGTCTTTAGTGCTAAAGCCTCTTTTTTTAATCTGAAAGCAGCTGAATGCAACACCAGACCACAGTTTTCTTAATCTTCTGCCTCAAAATAAGAAAAAAGTAGCATCTGATTTCTTAAAACTCACTCTCTCTCTCAGAAACAGTTTGTTTCCAGAAGTGAGTTCATCCTTTCTGCCGTCCTCTCTCCCCTGCAGAGACGTGCTGCCACAGAACTTTGACAGCTACAGCACAGACGTCCAGATGCTAATCTGCACCGCCGACCATCTGGGATCGCTGATGCAGTACGACACTCCTGGATTTTTACCCAACAAGAGGATACACAGAGGTAGTGCTGATAAACCCTGCAAATCTATGGAGTGTGTTCTATAAATAAAGTAAGAAATGTTTGTGTTTCTGGAGCCATGGGTTTAGCAACGCTGGAGGTGATGCAGGCGATGCATCGGACGTGGAGCAACTCTAAAGTGAGAGTCAACGGGAAGACGAGGCAAATGCAGTGGAGGGACATGTTCGATATAGCTGTCAAATGGAGGAGGTGAATAAATCCTGACGGTTAAAGGTTCATCAGGGCTTTTCAGGTGTCTAAAGGGTGAAATTATCATGTTTTAGTCAAACGAGGGAATTTGGAAAGTTTATTTTCCCTTTAAAGTACTTTTTAAATATCTGGATCTTTGATCTGTACGTCTGCATTTTAGTTAATTAAATAAAAAATAAAGCAAGGTAACAAAACCACATCCTGGTGATGCTGGACACCAGTGGTCCCAGTTCAAGTCTTTAAAGAAAAAGAAACTAAATGAAGATGAACATTTCTTTATGCAAGGACAGAAATATCACTTTACTCTAAGTACAACAAAAAGTACTCTTCATTTTATATTTGACTAAAAAAAGCCAAATTCACAATTGTTTCACATCTGCAATCAAAAAAACTAACATATAATTAACACACTGATATATAACAAAATAATATATTATTATAGAAGATGAAAGAGTACTAATATAACAATTGTATGATAGGTACATTACTTCAAAATGCCCAAATGTTGGTTTGCTTTGTTTTGAATTAATTAAGCATTTGTTTTATCCCCAGAGAACAGCAGCAGTTCTTCGTGTTTACCATACCATACCAATCTATTTATAAAGCACCATTTCAAAACCGCATGGCAGCTAACCAAAGTGCTGTACATAAAAGAGCCAAATGCTTGATCAAATCAACAAAACACAATGAAAGCAGGTAAAATACATAAAAACATAGCATAAATAATCAAGGATAAAAATTCCTACTAAAAACAATAGAATAAGAGAACAGTTAACGGCACTATCAAAAATAAAAATAACGCGGCGAACGATAAAAACCATTTGAAATGGCACAAATAAAACCAAAAAAGCTACAAGATGGTGTGAGGTGTTAAAAGTGAGCTACTGAATCTTAAAAACTAAATTAAGAAAAAAAAAACAACCGGTGCTGGATTTTCATGTAAAGTGTCACGGAGGGAAGGCGATACTGAAAAAGTGTGTTTTAAGGGCCGACTTGAATCTGCTGACAGAGGGAGCCAAACACACTTGGAGGGGCAGAGTGTTCCAGAGTTTTGGGGCTGCATGAGCGAAGCCCCCCCCCCCCCCCCGTTTACTTGGGGGTGACTTGCTCTTTAAACAGCAAGTCACTCCCAAATCAACATTTTTTTCCTGATAAACTAAATGCGTGTCTAATCGTGCTGCAAACACATGAGGTCCATAGTTTTGCACTTTAGTGCATTTTAGTAACAATTTAAATTTTCTGTCTAAAACTGTCGTTGTTGTGCCATTGTCGGGTAAAAACTCAGCACTGCATTTGAATTTCAATCTGCCATCGTTATTGGCTAAGAGCTACCCTAGAACGTTAGCTGGTACCATATGATGTCACAATGTCGTTGTGAGCCTGTGTATGTATGTATTTGTTAGCGACTCTGCCCTCTCGGTCTGCTAGGCAACAGCATTTGTTGCATTTTTCAAACAGGAAGTGGGAGTTGAGTAATACTCTGGTAGGGGGTGACTTGCTCTTTAAATGTAAAATGTAAACGACAACCAGTTACTCTACGGTTTATCATATTAACGTTTTAATTAATTCCTGACGGGAACCTCTCCTCTGTCCCGACCGCGTTTATAACCTCTGCAACTTGTTTGATTCGTTTGCACTTCAACAGCCAGTCCCTCGATCTCGCGACAAAGTTTTCTTTCTTTTTTTCTGGGTAGAATGCGGGGAATCCCCTCACGTGTTGAGGACGTAGCGTGACCAAATATGGTTAATTGAGGCCATTCCTGTATGTAAATGACTGAGAACGGACACGACCACCTGGGTACGCACAGGTGGGATATTTTGACTGTTTGTACAAACATAAATTTTGATCATAGGAAGGAATTTAGCAATGTTTCTACGAACGTTTGATGCATGAGGCTCCAGGTTCCTTTTAAAAGGAGACTGGACAGTTTTGGATTGCTTTTAGCACCCCCTGGTGTTCTGTTTGTGAAACTTATCTCCTCGCTGTCTTTAATCTAACAGTTTAAATGTCTCCCCAGCCTTCATTAGTGTCTAGAGGAGCGGTTCAGCACTAAATCAAACAAACCAGCTGTGTTCTCGATCTAAAACATGCTGGAAGCAGACTGCACCCCCAGGCTTATCGGCTCCGCCTTACTAAGTCCAACAGGGACCGGACCGACACTCTGAAGTTGCAAGTGCGGTATTCTGGCCACAGAGGGCGGTTGGTCTGAGTGACAGTTCTTTAATCCTGTAACGGGTCATTTTTGCACATACTGGCTTAAGAAAAGTATTTAAGATTTTGAAAAAGTTGCATAGTATGCCTTTATAATACAAAACTAAATAAAACCATTATTTTTATTTAGTTTTGATGTGTAGAAAAAGGTCATAAATCCGATACGTTTACATGAACAGATTCTCTGAGTCTTTTGGGGATCAGTGAGCACTCACAGGCTAAACGCTTCTCGCCGCTGTAGGATCGCGGATCCAGACCAGCCAGTTCTGTGGTTGGACCAGATGCCGGCTAGGAGCCTGAGTCGAGGCTTCAACAATCACATCAACCTCATCAGGTACCAACCTTGCTTCCAATTCAAGGTTCAAAAGTGTTCCTTTTTGTGATGCGATACAGTTTAAATTGGCATCAAAAATTGTGTCAACTTTTGTATCAATTTGCCTTTCAGGGGTCAGATTATCAACATTCGATACCTGGCCTATTTTGACAACATCCTGGAGTTTATCAAAGACCGAATACTGGTGTACCACGGGTAAATGCACCAACGATGTTCTTCCCTTTACTCACTAAGGCTCTAAAGTGGTTTAAGTGACTGTTTTTAATCTGTTTCAGGGCGTACAACCCGAGAGGGCTTCTGGACGTCCGCCAGGCTCTAGAAAATGTGAATAAAATAGAAGATCTGCTTCCTATAATGAAGGTAAGAAGGAAATAATAAAAAATAGAGAAAGGAGAATCTGTGTGGATGTGTAAGAATAAAAATTAAATAATTGATGATGATGGCAGGCTTTAGCTGAGTTTCAAGGTGTGTGTGTGTGTGTGTGTGTGTGTGTGTGTGTGTGTGTGTGTGTGTGTGTGTGTGTGTGTGTGTGTGTGTGTGTGTGTGTGTGTGTGTGTGTGTGTGTGTGTGTGTTTAGCAGTTCAACAGTAAAACCAGAGACGGCTTCACTGTGAACTCAAAGGTGCAGAGCATGAAAGATGCTGGGAAAGAGCACGACGGTTTCACCATCACCATCACGGGAGACAGGTATGGCCCTCCGGAAAAATAATCTAATTTTAGGAAATGAAATGGGGAATAAGTATCCTGCAGCAAAGAAATCAGATTAGAACTGAGCAACTTTTTTGGGGAAAAGTTTTTTTTTTTTAATCTGTAGGCAAATTTTCTGCTTTTAGCTCTCAGGATGTGTCAAAGCACCTGACAAACACCGGTTTCTGTTCAGTACCGTATTTTCCGGAGTATAAGTCGCACCAGCCATAAAATGTATAATGAAGAAGAAAAAAACATATAAGTCGCATTTTGGGGGGAAATTTTATAATTTTTCTTACAAAATCTGAGACCAAGCATTTCACATTGCAATACAAGTACCGGTAACAATAACAGAATAAACAACCAGGGCGCAGCAGCGCACCACGGTCTCCAACAGAGGATGGCGGTGTTTGAAACCCTCCCAGCGGGGCAGAGGAGCTGAAACCTGGACTGGAGCCGGCCCGCAGCAGCGCGGTATATGTAATTTGGTATATAATTCACTTTGGTATATAAGTCGCAGGACCAGCCAGACTATGAAAAAAAGTGCGACTTATAGTCTGGAAAATACGGTATTCTACAAACATTCATAAGATGAGGCAAAAAATTCCTCAAGTTCCTCAAATGTTATAGTCTTGTTTTATTACAGCACCAGATGTCATTGCATCCCACACGTTTACATTTAATTCTGTCATTTAAACAGTTCTGCTTATTTTTAGGGTGGGAAACATGTTGTTTTCCGTAGAAACGCAGACGACAGAAGAGCGAACGCAGCAGTACCAGTCAGAGATCGAGTCCATCTACAAAGACCTGACGGCTAAAGGGAAAGCGCTGATGCTGTCCACCGAGCTGGGGGTCAGAGCTGCTGTCTGATGATCTTTAAACAGCCAACTGGAAGATTATTTGTTTAGTTTTCTATTCAGTCCCGTTAGAGGGACAGCCGAACTTATTTACTGTTTAGACTGAAATTACAGCAATATCAAACAAAAGCATAAGAAGATGCTTAAACGTCTTTAGAGGCCTTAAGTTTGAGCACATTTGCTATTTTGTTTGAATTATCTGTTTTTCCTCCACAGCTGACAAAATGTACCAAGTTTCTGACATTTTTCTAAGCCAAGAAAAAAAAAACTTCATTATTATGATATTTTCTGTCTTAATTTTATTTCTACTGGCAGGAATAAAGATGATCAAGCATCACGTCTTTAGCTCAGACCAGCTGAATCTCTGATCCGTCTTCTTTCAGGACGCAGACGCTGTGTGCAACCTGATCCTATCCTTGGTTTATTACTTCTGCAACCTCATGCCTCTCTCACGAGGATCCAGGTAATTTGGTCAAGGTTTTAGATGTTAGTCAAATGGGCTTTGGTTACAAAGCAGACAGACAGATACTAATGGAGGTGTTTCTTCTCAGCGTGGTGGCTTATTCTGTGGTTATGGGAGCGCTGATGGCCAGTGGCAAGGAGGTCATCGGCAGGATCCCAAAAGGAAAGGTAAAAAAAAAAGAACTTTTATTTTGTCTAAACTATTAAAAATAAGCACTGTGTGTAGAATTATTATGAGATCTTCTAACTAATCCTAACTTTGGGTAATAAATTATAGAACAACATCTGGATTAACAGGGTGAAAACGGACATATTTCTATTTACGTGAGTCTTGAAGTCCAGTTCACCCTCTCTAATTAGCGCTTAAATAAAACCAGACAATCAGAAGAATCAGGAGATTAAATGTGGCCAAATTAACACATTTAGAGAATAAACGAGTGCAGAACAAAAGTTGTTGGGTCAAAAATTCCTGGAAATGAAGAAAAATGGTTTCATAGTAAGCAAGGATTCCCTAGTTTTTTTTTATGAATCTACAAAAGCAGCCCAATAATCTGATCTGGGGTCAGAAAGCATGAAGGATTAGTTCAGCTGAGGTCAGTTTTTATGCCAAACAGGAAGTTTGCAGAGTAGGAGCAAAAAATGTGGATGAATGAGTGCAAAGGGAACCTTTTCCTTGGATGAAGCCGAAGTTGATTTTGGCAGGAAAGCAGGAAGCTGCCTCATTAAAATGTTGAGTAGGAGTCTGCCTCGTTTAAATCTTTATTAAAGGGATTTTTTAAAAACGAAGAGAAAGTGTTGGATAAGAAATGACGTTAAGGCACTAAAGCTCTTATTTCAGTTCTTCTGATGATTTATCCCAAAAATTCCACTAAATGAATTAGGGATGCATGATATATCTCCGTCAATATTGGCCGATGTTAGTCGTTATTTTAACGTATCTGTATCGGTCCGATAAATAAAACTGGGTCGATATTAACAATTAATATTTTTTTCATCTCGTTTCCATTTGTTTATCTGTTTTAGAAGGTGGGGGGGGGGGGGGTGTATTTGTTTAGTCATGTGACAGCCACAGGCGTAAATGAGTGTGGTGTGTGTACATAATAACAACGTAAATTCAA